ATGGTGTTTTAAAGCAAATATTTTTCGTCTTGTCGAGTTCATAAATTAGGAATCATTTAAAAGTTGAAAAAATACAGAAATGTATAAGAAAAAACCTTTATAGCAACAAGCACTGAAAATAAGAAAATAAAAACGAATTTGCTGTCTTCAATAAAAGGTTGGTCGCTCATGAGATTTTTAAATATTTTAGCAACAAAAGCTTTTATTAAAAAAAAGTAAATTAGTTTTATTTTCTTATTTTCAGCATTTATAAGCGTGTTGCTATAAAGTTTTTTTTTAAATATATGTTTTGTTTGACGCCTAAACTGAATGATCGATTTTACAGCCTCTAATTTTTTTTTTAAGTTAATGTAATAGCTATAATGTGTCATTGTGATATTTTTTGTTTTGTTTACGCAAATAAAAGAGTATAATGAATATGAATGATGCTTTCATTCTAAGGCTAACTACACATCTATATGTGACCAAAAAGGAGGAAGAAGTAAACGACGGCACAAACTAACGTGACGTAATCATGACGTCACTGGACTGGGCTAGTGGGTTTTTTTTTGTCACTCACAAGTCAGCCTATAAAAGTCACGGCATTGTTTGGCTTCTCTGTCCATTCCGACCTTCGCGTCTGTTGTTACGTCACATCCGGTCATTTGTAGCGAAACGAGAAGTTGTTTTCTTCTTTCCCTGTGTCTTCTGGTACAGTTTCTTGTGTTGTGGTACAATGTGTTGGGCCATGGTACAGTTTGTTGTGTGGTGGTACAATGTGTTGGGCCATGGTACAATTTCTTGTGTCGTGGTACAGTTTGTTGGGCCATGGTACAGTTTCTTGTGTTGTGGTACAATGTGTTGGGCCATGGTACAGTTTCTTGTGTTGTGGTACAATGTGTTGGGCCATGGTACAGTTTCTTGTGTCGTGGTACAATGTGTTGGGCCATGTACAGTTTCTTGTGTCGTGGTGCAATGTGTTGGGCCATGGTACAGTTTCTTGTGTTGTGGTACAGTTTGTTGGGCCATGGTACAGTTTCTTGTGTTATGGTAGAAATGTCGTTGTACAGTTGATCGTGTCGAGGTAAAGTTTTGTATGTCATGGCACATTTTGTTGAGTCGGTGGTACATTTTCTCGTGTTGTGGTACAGTTTGTTGTGTGGTGGTACAGTTTGTTGGGCCATGGTACAGTTTCTTGTGTTGTGGAACAGTTTGCTGGTTCGTGGAACAGTCTGTTATGTGATGGTACAGTTTCATGTGTTGTAGTACCGTTTCTGCTAATGGTGTTAGCGTAAGGGATGTGGTAAGCTTACCGAATCTTGAATGTGAGCAAACATTATGTGACTATTTAAAAAAAAATGTGCTTCAAACGTTATCGAGTTTTAGCTTAAAGAGGACACGGAAGAAATATCCTACTGGAAATTGGAGCTCAACTAGGTCACATGACAGTGAGTTCACCTGACTCGGGAGGGATAGGTCAAGGTCAAGTACTGAAGGATTTCGTCCAACTTACGCGCGTATCTAAATGTTGACAACTGTCCTAATGTTGGGGCGCCGTCTACATTAGGGGCGCCATGTACATTAGGGGCACTGTCTACATTAGGGGCACCGTCTACATTAGGGGCGCCGACTAAAATAGGGGCGCCGACTAAAATAGGGGCGCCGACTTAATTAGGGGCACCGTTTACATTAGGAGTGCCATCCAAAATATGAGCGCAGTGGAGCGATGGAATTGTCATAGGTGAAAGAAACCGAATGCACGCCGTTTAGGTGCGACCTCAATACAAGACGTTATACGTGTATGGGGGGGGGGGGGTGTGATCGAGCTGTTTTGTCATAATGTGAGGGGTGTGTGTGTGGGGGGGGGTCTAGCTAGGTGTGTGCGTGTGTTTGTGGAGGGGGGGGGTCTATATTACATAACACCCCTTCATACGCCACTGGACATTATTATATTGGGGTGTGTGTGGGGGGGGGGGGGGGATTGCTTGAAGTGATAGAAAAAACACTTTCGACAGATAGAAGTTCACCGAAGCAGAGATGTGTGACTGCATATCTAAAGAAAACCGGCCAAACGAAACTGGAATAGTCTATTTATAGCTTGAAAAATAGCATTTGGAGCGACTCACTAAGAACCAAATTGTTGGATAGTGCCATCATTCCTACATAATCCAATATCTATATGTAGGTAGAAACAAATTTCTGTTTAAAGAAATATGCAACTTGCTTATAACTATATCATTATTTAATATAAATGTTTTTACTTATTTTTTTAGATTAATTTACTTTTTTATTATTTATTTATTAATTATTATATAAGAATTATATATATATATATATATATATATATATATATATATATATATATATATATATATATATATATATATATATAATTTTTTTTAAATAAATGTATTTTAAAAAATTAGTATAATACATTTTGGCCTGATTAAAATATTTTTTTTTAATAAAAAATCTTTTTGTTTTTATTAAATAAAATCATAGTTTATTAAAATTAATATATTTTTTCCTTTAAATTTATATATTTAAACTTCATATTATAGCAAAAAAAAAAATTCCCACAATAAAATAAATAAATCCGGGCACGCCAAAAAGACGGGCCCAATTGCTAGTAAAACATGATCGTATCTCATTAATGAATGTTTCCATCCCCTGACACGGTGTCCCCGTGCTACCTGTTGAAAACACAAAACAAATCAACAGTGAGATAAGTTGTCATCAGGTATGAGTCACACCAGTCAGCCAAAACACGTGTGGTCGTTCGTAAGTGGAGGGGGGGGGGGGAGAGGAGGTAATGGTGACGGGCCAGTGTTTATTTTAAATCTGTGGGTCGCAGAGGTGTTGATGTTGTGGGTGGGGCACACACAGTGTCGGAACAAGAACAGAATTAAACCCCACCCTCCTGATTGAAAAAAATACATTCGTTCGATCAGTATTTCATACATTTTTTCTCCACTGGAAGGCGGAGGGGGGGGGGGGGGTGGGGAAGAAGTAAAAACTGGTTAATTTTATTTTGTTTTTATTCTATTTCGTCAGGGGTTGGTGTTTGGACTTGCTTCCCCCCCTCCCCCCCACCCCCTCTCACAGGAGAGATGCCTGAAAGAAACTCTGATTTCACCCCACTAACTAAGGTAAACTTGATGATGGTATTAATTAACGGCGCGTGCATTTAAGTGTTATTTAGTTGTTAAAAAAATTAATTCAGACTCTGATTCTTTTGACATCCCCTCCCCCCCAATCATTTGATTTCTTTAACATAAGCTGTTCATTAATTCACCTACACATTATTTCAATAACAAATTGGGTATAAGTCCGTTAGTAATGATACTATTCACTTTCAGTTGATACTTTATTTTGTCAATTAAAGTCTTCATTATTGGTTCAGTAACACACACCTATGAGTGTGTGTGTACTAAGAGGATGGGGTGTCGGTCAAACTCTACCCCTACTGGGCCGGTACACTGCCGCTTCTCTGTTTAGTCCAATGTTCACTTTTGACCCCCCCCCCCCCTTTTTCTAGATTGTCTAGATCTAAGCCGTGTATGATTATGCTTCTAATCCGTAACTGGTTAGCCCTAAAATTAGTTGGTTAGACCTAAAATTAGTTATTAGGTTCAGAGTAGACTGGCTTGATTGTCTCTAAGTATGAATTATTTTAGCACACACAATAAACACGGGGGGGGGGGGGGGGGGGGGTGAGGGGCACCGGGTCATAGGGATGTTGTAGTGGGTTGTTTCTTTTTTTTTTTGGATGGTTGGATACAAGGGTCATTTTGTGATGAATAGTTCTCAACGGTCTTACATGATGAGTGCTCAACGTAATACAAAGGGACAACAAAAGTGTTCCTTTCAGTCATTTTCTCCGGGGAAGGCCAGGACGGACACTGGTTAAAGTATATATTATCTATATAAATTATATTTTTATTGACCCCCCCCCCCCCCACACACACACAAGATACGCCTGAAAGAAACACAGTACACAAATTACACCTAACGGTAATGTGAAGGCGTACTTACTTAACAACACATGTTGTTAACAGATTGAGTGTCACCCGGTGCGTTAACTGAGGTTGTCACTGCCCCCCCCCCCCACCATCACTCCAACAATTTATCATTTTCGTTTAGATGTTACCCCTCTCAGTCCATTGTTTTTTAACTACATACAACGTTTTGAAAGTAAATTTTTACGATTTTCCGATATGGTTACCCCTAAAAATGTGTCACTCGGTGCTAACGGATACTTAAAAACACTGTAGATCTAGGCCAATTATATGTGTAGCACTCAACAACCAGTTACCCCTTATATAATAAAAATATAGTATCGACTTCTAAATCTATCTATAGAGTCACTATAGACTGAAAGGTACAACGTACTCAGATGCACTGTGCCAAGCAGGCAGTATCATAAATAGAATGTGTTGTCATTTCTCAATGAACCGGTGGGGTCAGCCAGATTTTTCACGCTTGAAAAAAAAAAGTTCACTACAACACACACGTGTTGATTCGGCTTATCGGTCGCGTGGTAATGACGACACGGACCTAGGGGAGTTAACACACTAGTGGAGATGGAGAGTAACTACGCAAAAACTTATTATCTAACATGGTTTTATTTAAATAAATGACAAGACCAAATCAGTTGTTGAAACAATAAAAAATAATTAATTAGGCTACTTAAAATTTTAAAATAAATTTAAAAAATAAGAAAATATATATAGATTTATGAGGCTACATTATTTTAAAGGATTTGACGGGGAAATGTTTGCGTGGAAGGGGGAGGTGGGGAAGATTTTTAAAAATTAGAAATATCTAAATTAAAAAAGAAAACTTGAATCTGAAGAAGAAGCTGATTTGTAAGACGGAAATTGTGATTAAACCGGTATATCTAACAGGTAATCGAGACTATGCATGGAGTGTGTTAATCGAGATAAGCGTGATGGCGAAGAATTCCTCGACTACATTTATTGCATATACATACAACAGATTGTATGTCACCAGCTTTCATGCTTCAAGTTAATCTATAACGAGACATACTAAAGATTGATTAATTCATATATTTAAAAAAAAAGATTTTATTTAAAAATTGTTAAGGGAAACAATCCATTTAAACATACATGACAAATTATCATACTGAATTGTCTACCTTTTTAAACGACCGGGTCTACAAAAAGTGTCAGAAAAACTCCACCAAAAATTAATTTAAAAAAGAAGTTAATTACTATTATATCAAAATCAACTTTATTGCAATTTAAAATCTAATGAGAAAGTTAAAATGATTTAAAAAAAAAAATATACGGTTGGTCATGGAAAAATATTTATTTTGAAATAAATAGTATAAAAACCTAGTATATCTTTTTAATTTAATTAAATGCAATAAAATGATAAGAACACTAGAAGCACTAAAGTAAGAACAATATGTTTTTACATAAATCTATGTAACAGTAAAGTATTGACTTATGTAAAGGGGTCTTGAGTGATAATTATTAAGGAGTCAAAAGATTTGACCACTAAACTTACAACAATGGACATTGTAAAAAGTTGTAAAATAATTTTGGCTGCTTCAATAGCAATGAATTACATTTAATAGAAACCGTTGCTTTATTTAAAAAATAAAAAGTGCAATAAAAAAATAATTACAAAATCACCAGAAAATATTTAAGGCCCCATCTGGCATTATAACAAGTAACCGATAGACCAAAAACATAAAGTTTTGAAATAACATTGGCCCCTATAAAATAACATTAAATGTGGAATGTTGGACCCTATTAAAATAACATTAAACGTGCAATGTAAATTATTTTTGCCACGGCACCCAGGCTCCACCATGATATTTTGGGTTGCCGCTATCATCGTAGGGCCTGTTGCCTGGTGGTACCATTGTACTGGCATAGTTCTTCAGGCGGTCAAGTATAGCGGTTACCTGGGGAAGTAAAGTTTTCTTCTAAGAGAACTCAGTGAGGGAATTCTAGAGGGGTGCCAAAACATGGCTGGGAATATAATCTAGTTGGTAATATGGGACACATTCACATAGCTGAATACTGGATCCATTCATGTTGAAGAATATGGGACCCAGTCATTAGTGGATTATGGGACCCATTAATGTAGCTTAATGAGACCCATTAATGTAGATAAATATTGGACCCATTAATTTAGATGAATATTGTACCCATTAATGTAGATGAATATTGGACCCATTAATGTAGATGAATATTGGACCCATTAATGTAGATGAATATGGGATCAATTTATGTAGATGAATATGGGATCCATTAATGTAGATGAATATGGGATCCATTAATGTTGATGAATATGGTGCCCATTAATGTAGATGAATATGGGATCCATTTATGTAAATGAATATGGGACCCATTAACATAGCTAAATATGGGACCCATTAATGTAGCTGAATTAATGGACCCATTCCAGTAGCTGGATATGGGACCCATTAGTGTACTTATATATGGGACCCAATTATCTAGCTAAGAACTTCGGATCTGCTACTGTAGCTGGGAAAAAAAGGACACTCAATAAAGCCTAACTGTACAGCATTCTGTTGTAGAACAATACTATAAATACGATAAAGTTTACCATTACAACTATAGCTGATGTCCCATACCTATTTTCTTTAAAGATATTTATTGATGTATAATGTTTACTAATAGAATATTAATTGAAAACAATATCAGCAAATGTAACATTCCATACTTTAGCTTTTATAAACTGTTAGCTTGGAAAAATTGGAAAAGTAACCAGAAAACAAACTAGCTTTAAAGCAATCAAGACCGTTAACTTAATTAAATGTAGAAGACACTAAAAATAACCAATTTCTAAATTATAAATAAACTGTTGCGCAGTGTGCCTAAAAACCATATTGCTAGGAATTTATGGCAGGACCTAGAAGTGTCTAGCACTGGTTCTGGTTGAACTCTTTGTAGCATTTAAATAAAGTAAATCTAAAGCTATGCATATCATCTTTATATGAAGATTTTGTTGTTATTGAATAAGCGATGCAACTGTTGGCTAATAATCGACATGAAATAAATTTTAATCTGTATTATCCTTACATACATCTAAAGGTTTTTATCTGTTATAAAAACCATCTTTTAAAATTGAAAGCAGTGTGTATCGTTCATATGGAATAGTGTGTATCGTTTAGCTTTAGACTTAGAAACAAACAAAAAATAATCACTTACCACTTCGGGCATTGCGTAAGCAAGATTGTTATATTCACATGGATCAGAGGGTATGTGATACAGGCAGGGGGTGACCTCAGGGTGGCAGTTTGTGCTTGCGTTGGCAGGTTTAACCCCGCAGTTGATGGTCACAGGAGCACCGCCCGCAGCTAAATCCACGTTTTGCTTTTCCGACAGGAAATTCAAACTAAAATCCAGCATGTTTAAATTTTCAGATTTATCCGCATGTGAATGACTAAATTTAGAATAGACATCACTAGTAGCCCAGTAGGATTGTAGCTCTTTCATGCGAGTTTTCGCACTGTCTGGCCAAAATTTTCTGTACGACTGTAGTAAATTTTTCCGTAGCTCAGTTTTGGATGGAGATTCGGAGGTCAGAGTTGAAAAATTTGTGTAATGAAGCAGCTGAAGGTCACCATCAAGCTGGAAAGGTGGATACCATCCATCCCAGCTGGACCCAAGATCACCCATCAGTAATTTATAATCCCCGACACGGATGGCGGATGAATCATCCTGGGGGTCGATGTTATGCAGTATCTCGTTACGAACAGCAGGTCCGTTCTGACTTAACATATCCCATGAGTCGTATCCATCCAGGTTTGTTAAGGTTGAGGGGTCACCGCCAGCGGCCTTGACCAAGGTTGGCAGCCAGTCACAGACGTGAAGCATCTGCTGTGAGACGTAGCCCTGCTTCTGCAGTAGCGGGCTGTGGATGAGGCCGACCCCTCTCACTCCCCCCTCCCATAATGTTGCCTTCACACCCCTGTGGAAACATCAAATGTAATTTCATCAGATCTGTTTCATCATTTATTTAAAAAAAGGAAAGTTCCTTTTTTGAAACTGACGGTGGTCCAAGGGGCAAGTATAGAGTTCAGCTATTTCTGTGACCACTGCATATGAAGAGATAGTGTGGTCAGCACTATGCCCAGCCGCTTTTATTTTGCCTAATATGAGTTGGTACTCATCAAAGCTGGGTGGATTCAAGGACGTTCTACTGACTAGAACCTGAATTCGAACTCAAGACTTTAGGTTAGCAGTCTAGCACTCTACTACTAGACCACACCGTCCCACTTTCTCTATAATAATAGTAATATTTATTTTATGATAGCTAAAATAGCAAAAGTAGAATTAATAATTGCCCGACTAAATTTGATAACTAGTAGCTGTAAAACAGTTTAAAATGCCCTTTAGTCACCCAGACTCAAATAAATGACACACCAGAGCTGGGTTGGACATTCTTTAGACCTGATCCACACAACTTAAGTTAAGACCTTTGGCTACATTATCTCAACTAGTGGCTATTAGACTACATATATGTTTAAATGTGGGACGGCTCGATCAGCTGGGTGAGTATATTATTTCTAACTCAAAATGTTTCCTGAGGCTTGATAGCTGGGGACAGCAACCTATCTAGGGAGAGAAAACTCCAAAATCAATTAGCTACTGTATTAGAGATTGTTCTTGTGTGGACAAAAAAAAAACAAAAAAAAAGCCACCAAACATAAAGTTGGAGTCAATGGGCCATATGGTACATAACTCATTAACAAGTAAATTGAGTTGGAGGAGATCCCTTCCAAGATTACAATTAAGAACGAAGAAGAAGAAGAAATGGGTGGGAAATTCTTTAGATCTGACGCACAGAAACAAAATCAAGACATTTTATCTAGTCAATCATGCTTGGCAAAATCATGGCAATAAAACTAATTTATTTTCCTTTGCCATTTACCATACTGTTCTCAAATTGAATAAAATTTACCGAGCATGTTAACGTCCCCTACCTCAGTGGAAAGTTGTTAGCAGCATTGAAGTCAAATCCATTCGCCGGCCCGCCGTTGTCAGTTGTACAAATAATGATGGAGTTATTCAGCATGTTGTTGGTTTTGAGAGCGTCGTAAACTTGTCCGACAGCGTCATCAAGAGCTGACACCATGGCTGACAATGAAAAATAACGACTGATGTAATAAATCAAATCGGAGAAAAAAACCATGAGCAAAATAACTTTGGCATTAAAAAAAATCTACATCATCATATAAGGTTTAAGTAGGCCTATAGAGAGATACAACAAAGAGAACTTTTATTAAATTTGGTTCAACTATTTAAGTAGTGGTGCATTTTATTTCTTAAAAGAATGTCAATTTAATGAAAAACATTTTTTTCCCCTCTTTTTGGTGCATGTCAATATTAACGTTTTTTTTATTAATTTTTAAAAAATGTGATGTGAAATTAAAATATGCTCCAAGGGGAGTTAAACAAAATAATTTTATTTTCAACAAGTAAATATGAGTTATCTTTCTTCGTTTTTTTAAATATTGATTCAATACCTGCGTATATTCTCCTCTGCTCGTTTTGTATATATTTAAATTTGTCTATATATTCTTTCGGTGCCTGCAAGTTGGTTCCGTCCCCATTGCCACTATGGACAGCTTGGAAAGGGAGGTAAAGAAACAGAGGCTGCATCAGAGAATAAAAACATCATGAGTTAACGCACTTGATATGGTTTCTTAGAAATTACACAGAAATGAAAGAAATTTTAAATTACATTAAAAAATAAGATATATGAAACTTACAATGTTTGAAATAACTACCTGTGATTTATCATGATTATTTATGACCTTGACTGCCTCTTCCTTGAATACGTCAGTGGAATATTTACCCGTGTAGTTCCACACTAGCTCTGTGTCCTTACGGAAGTCTACCCCCCACTGCTCCTGCAGGCAGAAACATTTGTTGTAACAGATTTTTACATCAGTTCTAGGTACAAAATGGCAGGAGGAGTTCATTACATTTTTTATACATGTTATTTAAAGGGTTAATAAGTAAAAAAAACCTAACCTGTTACTAGCACTCAAGGAGAGTTATGTATGAAGGATTAAGGTGAAATTGTTCATATAATATAGTTCATATAAAAGATGATATATTTGAGAACTTTTGATGTTTTACAAATAATAATGAACCCTTTAAGTTATAACTTAGATAAAGTGCTGAAACTGTAAGTTAAATAACTTAAATATAAATGTGCAGGAAAGTTATGTTATATTTAACAGTAAGTTGTATTTAAGAATAAAACCTAACAGAATGTAACATGTTCCTTACCAAGTTAGCCTTGTATATGTGTGTACAGTAATTTGTTACTGACCAAATTAGCCTTGAATGTGTGTGTACAGTTATTTGTTACTGACTATGTTGACCTCATACGTGTGTGTAATGTGTTACTGACCAAGTTAGCCTTATACGTGTGTGTATAGTAATGTGTTACTGACCAGGTTAGCCTCGTACGTGTGTGTATAGTTATGTGTTACTGACCAGGTTAGCCTCGTACGTGTGTGTATAGTAATGTGTTACTGACCAGGTTAGCCTCGTACGTGTGTGTATAGTAATGTGTTACTGACCAGGTTAGCCTCGTACGTGTGTGTATAGTAATGTGTTACTGACCAGGTTAGCCTCGTACGTGTGTGTATAGTAATCCTCACAGCCCTGATAGTAGCCGATGTGTGACTCAAAACCTCGGAACAGAGGTGTGTACTCCCACTTGAACATGCCAAGATGCCACTGAAATGTCAAAAACAGTATATGGCATTTAGTGAACATGCCAAGATGCCACTGAAATGTTACAAACAGTACATGGCATTTAGTGAACATGCCAAGATGGCACTGAGATGTCACAAACAGTACATGGCATTTAGTGATTGTATCACTCACAATATAGTGAACACAAAACAAATATCTTATATCCAGCACTGAATAGGACACTGTGGCCTAGCAATAGAGTGCTCAACTGCTAAAATGAAGCCTCAAGTTCAGACCTTTGACTCGAGTCTGTCGGACATCACTGAGTCTTCTCAGTTCATATGGGTACCTGACCTACATTTGGGAAAGTAAAGGCAGCTGAGCATAGTACTGAGCACACAATCCTTGTGTAAATTTTTGAAGCCAAGTCATTATTAGTGCGACAAATGTGGTGTCAATACTAGGCTTAAAGTTATTGATTGAATAGTTAGATATATAAATCTGTTGAGTTTTTAAAAAAGTTAGATTGTTGGTGGGTTTTTCGATGATTATTTCAGTCATGCAAACCATATCATGTTTACATTGGTTCAATCTAAAAGGGAAGTCAATTTGATTGGATAAAAATGGTATACATCTGTTCTATTTTTACTTTCTCATATATACGATTTTACAAATCTCGACGTTTTACATCTAACTGATACGGAAAAACATAATTTTGCAATCTTGTCTGTAGGTCTGTATGTGTGTCTGTCTGTCTGTGTGTAAACACGATAACTTGAGTACCGTTACAGCTAGGTTGATGAAATTTCATATATAAGTATTTTATCAAAATCGTAGATCCTGATCAACTTTTGAGCAATTTCCGATAACCGCAAGTGGTACTTTTCCTACTTTGAATTTTTAAAAAGCCTATAATTTGAGTACTATTTCAGATAGATAAATGAAATTTCACATTTAAGTAAAATATCTAATTCTCTACCTTCTGTCAAATTTTGAGTAATTTCCATTGACCGGAAGCCGGAAGTAGTAATTTACGGTATTTCCGATTTCTCAAAAAACGCATGTAAATTTATAAAGTACTCATAATATTGCGCACTATTATGCACATTTTCTTAGGCGTTCACTTGGTGTGCAATTCTTTTTTTTTATGAGATTCCATTCTATTATAAAAAGTTTAAGTATTTAAAATGGATTACAAATATTGTCTATGTCCTGAGTTGCCATCCCTCGTAGTTTTATATCAGAATATTCGAGAAAGATTAGGGGAGATCACTCCCGGTTTATTTTTTTAAATAAGCATAAATTTCTCTTAATCTAATAAGATTTTATTTATCCAATGAAATTTTCTTAATCAGAGATTTTTTTCTTCTTCCCGTTTCTTCCTCTGGTGACATAGACAATGTGGATTGTAATGCAAATGGTGATGAAGGCTACTAGAGACTATTTGATACATCCTTGAAAAGCAAAAGTTTACAGTAGCAACTAAGATTGCAACCGATGTTAAAAACTCATAAAACTAAGTTCTTTTAGCTTAGTAGGTGTTTTACCATTGCAACAGCAAGGTAACATGGTATAGTTGTAGTGATTTATTTACACAGAAATTAGTGTTATCCAACTTACCTTCCCAACAATGTGAGAACGATAGCCCAACTTGTTCAGATGCTGCGGCATTATTGTTTCATTAAGGGGCAAACCATAAGGCTGGGTACCCACAATAACACCTGATTGCATACCTGTAATTAATAATACAGATTTCATTATTTAAATACTAAAGAACACTTCACAATGGCTAAATGTAGATGTATGCAGATGACTGTTATAGGTTGAATAAAGGGAGGCTACTCTAGAGAAATGTTCAGATATTTTTATCTTGTTCCTTCCTCAGCAGGGGAACAATGCAGATAACTTGAAAATAACGTTTAGTAAAATAAAAATAAAATTATTGTCCTTTTGTTTTTATATTGATGAAGGTTTGATCTGCACTATATTTTATAAGATTTAATCTAAATAAAATTACAGAAATCTGATAAAAATTCAAATAACTCAACTAGATCACTTTTCCCCCATTTCATTTAATTTAAATAAATCAAGTAAACTTTGTTAGATTAAACAAAGAACTATTGATAGTTCATTAAAAATTGAATTAACCAGCTAAAATAGTGTTAAAGTTCAGCATGAAAAATAAAAATCACCAGTGTGGATGGGGTGTCTTCCTGTCATCAAGGCACTCCTGGTAGGTGTGCAGATGGGGCTGACATAGTAGTTGTTTAGTATAATCCCTGAGTACCCCAGGAAGTCAATGTTGGGCGTTGGTATTTGCTCTGAGCCGTGAAAACTGACGTCATTGTAGCCCTGCAGGTTGAATAAAAAAAATTGGGGACTGTAATGATCATTATGGGAATACAGTAAGGTATCAAATACTCAAATATTGGCAGAGTTTCTTCCAGGCACCTCTTCAGGGAACGAAGAACGAAATGAAATTTATAAAGAAAATATATACTTTTAATAGTGCACCCCCCCCCCCTGAGAAAAAAGTCTGGAAAAAACACTGTATATTGGGCGGGCACTGCTATCTGGATTTTTCAGTTTACTAGAATAAAATTGCAATAATTTACTTTAATTTACTGAATATTGCTTTATTCACTTGTTTCTTAATGATTATTTCTAACAACATGTCTGATTATACTTCCTTAATTAACAAAGTTTTTTTTTATACTGATGTGCAAAGTTAAGTGTTATGAGTGGTAATACGAGTACTTTGACCATCTTGAATGTCAATAATTATTAACCATGAGGATTACTCATACTGTAAATTAAAGCAGGAATCAGCAATTAAAACTGTAACATACAATACATGTATGCACTTGGTTCTTTATTTGACAAATGGATGTGATGCACTACAGTTGATGACAGTTGAGTATGGAATCAGTAAATGATCAAAATTAATAAGCTCAACTTATTTCCTATGCTACTGGCATATTTCTGTATATCTTATGCTATTTCAAACCTTAAGGTTAATAAATATAAATAAAGGGGAAGCTACTCTAATAATACCATGTTTTCAAACAGCATTTACTTTTATACGTTAATCCAACACAACAATAACACTACCTATTAGATTGCAATTTTACCATGATTATATTTAGTGTGCTTTTTAAAAAAATATATAGATCTATCAAGTATGTATTTCTAATACTCACCAAATCATCTGCTAGAATTAAAATAATGTGCTGTCTTGGTGATATATATCTAGACCTAGTATGTATTTCTAATTAATAGTAATACTGTAAAACTAACCAAATCATCAGCTACAATTAAAATAATGTGTGGTCTTGGCGAAGATGCAGCAGAAAGAGCAAGAACAGCGGAGATGAACAGCAGCCAACTGTGATGTACCATTTTCAAGACACTTTGATTTCAGCCAGCGTGGTGGATAGCTGCTGCTGCAAATAATTTCAGATGATAAATATTAAAAATAATTTGGTAATCTATCATTTTAGGTAAAACCTGCCATCACTAGTAATGTGAAAAAAAGGTGACTCATAAAATTTAAGTAATTATTTCACATTTTTAGGAGGATTTATGTTTTGAAAGGTATAAAAATGTTTCAGTTTCATTCATATACCTGTTTAAAAAAAATTGTATTAAAACTTTTCAGTATTTTTAGTATTTAGACATTGCGGTAATCTATCGTTTTAGGTACGTAAAATCACCCGCGACTAGTAATGTGAAAGACAGGTGACTCCTTAACCTTTAATAATTATTCCGCATTTTGATGAGGATTTATGTTTTGAAAAATACAAAAATGTTTCCTTGTTTCATTTATGTACTTGTTTTTAAACAATTGAATTAAAACTTTTCAGTAATAAATGAAGACTAACAATGTTTCCAACAGATGCAACCATGCTCATTTACTATAGCAGCCATCTTGTTTAAGTTTTATTTTTTTAAACTTATAGCGCGAGATTCAGGGGAAGCCAATCTATTTTACAAATGGCTGCTGTTTATATAGCAAATCTTGCTCGCAAACACTGCTGTTTAAAGTTAATTTCTGGACTATATTGATATATTTAGTATTATTTAGCCATTGATTTAGGTTTATTATTCATTTATCAATAATATTTGACACAAATATATCACAAAATATACTTCTATTAAAGCCTTGACAATGAGGTAACTTTTTCGTACATTACTAGCCGCAGGTGATTTTACGTATCTAAAACGATAGATTACAGACATTGCTTTTGGTTTATTATTATATTATTGTTATTAGGCCTATCTATTATATTTGACACAAATATATCACAATATATTATACGTGTATTAAAGCCATCACATAATATTAATGAGTCACCTTTTTTTTTTTACATTACTAGCCTCGGCCGATTTTATGTACCTAAAACGATTGATTACCATAAATTTTAATTTATCAGTTCTCAATCAAATCAATTATTTTATTATAATTATCGAAATTAATAATAAATAATTATCAAACGGACTATCTAACTACTATCTATGAAATCAGAAATAATATTAAAAACTGACGGAACTAAACCAATGAATGCGGTTATAAAATAAAAACGATAAAGCAGTGTAACCGAACTCGGGAGAATGTTTATACCGGTGTCTGATAATGGAATCTTCTTTAAAAAAGGGGTGTTAGGTTACTGGTAGTTAACTAAATACACACATGGCTGGCTAATGTCAATGCTAACCCTGTCCCTAACCCTAACCCCAACCCTGGTCCAACCATACGCCTAACCCTAATTTCTAATCATAAAATTAGTTGAGATTACAATACTTATCAATATACTAACAACCTAATACCCCTTTTTTAAAGAAGATTCCATTATCGGACACTGGTATCTATAATCATCCCCGAACTCAATCGCAATAGACTAGTAAAAGAAATAATATACTACCTATTCGTTATAATATAACAAATGACAGTGAAATTATAAAATATTAAAAAGCGTCTACGCTTGATAAAAAGCTTTATGGAGTACGGCCATTTTGTTTTGTCACATGACTTTTTATGTCATGTGACGATACCAAGCAACAGTTGAGACAAGGGCACTTTACAAACCACTCTTACCGACTTGGTTTGCCTATTTTCTTCAATAGTTTCCGCCCTTTCTTATGGACACAAGAACATTTTTTTAACGGCATAATCTATAATAAAAAAAATAATAATCTATTTGGAAATAGAGCTCCATACTCTATCATCATTTCCTTATTCAGAGTTTCTTCCAGGCATCTACCACCCCCCCCCGAACGAAATGAAATTCATACAGAAAGTATATACTTTTAACAGTGACCCCCCCCCCCCCCCCCCCGAAGAAAGTCTACCGACCCCCCGAAAATTTCAAGTGTCCCCCCCCCACCCGGAGAAAAAATTCTGGAAGAAACACTGTCCTTATTACGCCACTGGTAGTGTTTTATATTATGGTACAAATAAACCTAGGCACCGTGCATATATTGGTGAAAATGTGGCGGTGGTTTCAGTGGCGTAGCTAGGATTTTTAGGCCCCTATGCAAAAAGTGTTAGTGGGCCCATCAGAGGCGTACCGACCCTTCCCGGCGACCGGGGACAAACTTTCGATTTTCACGTCCGCCCCCCCCCCTCAGACTTTCGATTTGCACCCCCTCAGACTTTCGATTTGCACCCCCCCCCCCTCAGACTTTCGATTTGCATCCCCCCCTCAAACTTTCGAAAAAGGGCCCCTATTTGCCTTGGGCCCCTATGCCTTGCTTATGCTAGCTTTACGGTAGCTACGACACTGGGTAGCTTATCAGTTTGCTCTACTGTTTGGGGTGGGTTGGTGATCAAAAGCCGGATTAGGTAACAATTATTTCATTACTTAGACTTTCAAAAAATTTCTGCAAGATATTTCCTGTTTAATGTTTTATTTCCATAACTTTTGCAGGAACTTTACGAGAAAAATATTTTTATAAAAATGTTTCTTTGTCAAAATGCTAGTAGTTATAAAGCTAGTACATACAGAGGCGTAGCGACCCATTCCGGCGCCCGGGGCGAACCATCAGTTTTGCGCACCTCACGCTCATTATATATATATATATATATATATATATATATATATATATATATATATATATATATATATATATATATATATATATATATATATATATATATATATATATATATATATATATATATTCAAGTTGGTGAACCTCCCCCACCCAGTTGGAAAGGTATCTGGCGATATTAACCAGTCACGATCCTAACATGTTTCTATTGTGGTGCCTCACTATTGATGTACAATTGTATATATAATTCAATACCCCTACTTAAAATGAGTTTTTTTTCAAACCCTTTTTGGCGCCCCCTTAGGGGTCGGCGCCCGGGGCGGCAGCCCCACCCGCCCTCCCCTAGCTACGCCTCTGAGTACATACAGATATCACACACTAAAATCTTATAGCTTAAAATACTTCTGTGGCACTCACTGGCAAGTTTTTGTGTGTGATATGTGTGTGTTGGAAGTGTGGGGGGGGGGGGGCAGGGTTCTTAATATTCGAAATATGAACGGGTGTGGTCTATGGAATGTTCTAGAACATTATATGTCATATTTTGTGTAATTTAAAGTAAAAAAAAATCCCTTTCAAATCTGACGTTCTTCCGGCTAGTGAGGTAGAGTTCACCAGTTTCTGTGACCTCAGCATATGAAGGGGGGCAGTGTGGCCAGCACTATGCCCAGCCGCTTTTCCTTTCTCTAACGTGAGTTAGGTACCCATCAGAGCTGGGTGGACTCAGGGACGGTCTACTGACTTGAACCAGATTCGAACACTCGGGTTATTTAACACCTTCAATGTTTTTCTTTAAACTTTTACAGAAAAAAACACACAACAAAACAAAAAAATAAATAAAATAGAATCATAGATTCAGTTTATATTATGTACAAGTTTATTACTTTAAACACATATTTATATATCTACATCAAATAACAGTTTTGGTTTTTGTACTGCTATGCTACAAAAATACCATTTTTTTTAAAAATATAAAGATAATTTTCAGTGGGCATAAATTTAACTTCTTTTGCTCCAGAGGGTTCGCAAAGGAATAAAGAAGACGAGCCGACCCGCGGCATATCGTTAGTTGTTTTTTTTTTCTACTTTTCAGTAATTCATAATTTGTGAATTCGACAGTACCAACGCTGCCACTGAAAATATTTCTTTAAAACACTATAAGTAGCTCATTAAGGACGATAACCTCCCTCCTTTCCCCCCCCCCTCCTCCGTTAAAGTAAACTCCACTTAGTTACCCCCCCCCCCTCCGTTTAAAATCGTTTCAAACTAAATTATCTGCCCCTAATAGTCGTCACTAAACCCGGCTCTGCTTGTAAAAATTTAGCGTGAACCACAGCTCACCAGACCATGTAGGGGTGGGGGTGGTAGGGAGCGAGCTTACAGCTTGTTTTCTAGCGTCTCCCAGAAGAGAATTATATATATAGATACATATACATTTAAAATTTTTGGGCAGCTATAAAAATGCGTAGGCTACAAACTTATATTTTACAATTTTGCTAGTTTTATCAGTTTGATTAAACCGCACTAAAGCAGGATCTACGTCATTAACACTATTTTACGCAAGCAAATTATATAACATAAATTTTTATTTAAAAAATATATATTGTAGCAATAAAAATGGATAATATAATCGTGAATTTTAATGGTCAAAACAATTGGCATATAACCACCTTTGTCACAATTTGACAATGGCATATGGCTACCTCTCGATGTCACATTTTGGCTATCACATTTGGCTAACTCTCGATGTCATATTTTGACAATCTCACATGGAAGAACGATTTGGGAAGCTTTAACAGATCAACTGTTATTTAATTAAATTCTATAAATGACTCATTTAATTAAATGAGTTAATATATTTTAAGACCAGGTGTAATTAATTGTTAAGGTCACTTTATCGTCGCTGATTAAATGTTTTCCCCTTAATATGTACTAACCCTTTCCAGGGGGGGGGGGGGGGTCCTCTCCAAGGTCGTACGGGCTCCCACTTCGACTTTACATGGCCCAAATCACTGTACCGTAAGGATCGTCTCACGTGACCAAAACAGACCAACGGAGGACGAGACTGGAGACTGTTGCACCAACACACACACATTACGTCATATTATGTCACAAACAACTATTAGCACGGGGATTACACATAGCCTTATAGACGCAAGCCAATGCAAAGACCAAGACGATCATTGAAACTAAAATGGTCAAATACACAAACAGAGCCCTAAAGGGATTTTCCTCTCGGGGGCGACCAGGACCTTGACAAAGGACGAGTTCACGACCTTGAACTACCTCCGAGATCTTGTCAGCACCCTGGCAACAGGGGTCGTCGCAGCTGTGGTACACGCCTGTTGATTGGTTGAGACACCTGTCGCACGCGTGACAGCGTCTGCCCGTGTTGACATCCGGCCGGAAGTAGTGCCCTCCCCGGCACGTGACCGCCGTGTCGGACACAGACGTGCAGGAAATGGCGGTGACCTCACCGTGTTCTGGACTAGCCGTGTAGCAAGGAAAACACCAAGGCACGGCGTGGCCATTCAAGTTCATGAACGTGTTAACTGGACACGGTAGGCAAGACACGTCCCCGCTAGTTTGGTTGTGGTTTAAGAATTGCCCAGCCATACACAGCGAGGCAGGTTTTCCCAGTGGCCATTTTCTTCTAAATATAGATTCAAGTTTTGCCGGAAATTGTGTAGCGTTGATTGCACCAGCGAATGCAATCAAGTGTAACAGGATAAACAGGGCCAAAATTAGCATTTTCAGCCTGAAAGATATAAAACAAAACAATTTTTTCAGCCTGAAATATATAAAACGAAACAATTTTTTCAGCCTGAAAGGTATAAAACAGCTTTTTTTTTTCAGCCTGAAAGTGAAAGATATAAAACAATTTTTTTTCAGCCTGAAAGATATAAAATAAAACAATTTTTTCAGCCTGAAAAATATAAAACAAAACAATTTTTTTCAGCCTGAAAGATATAAAACAAAACAATTTTTTCAGCCTGAAAGATATAAAATAAAACAACTTTTTCAGCCTGAAATATATAAAACAAAACAATTTTTTTCAGCCTGAAAGATATAAAACAAAACAATTTTTTTCAGCCTGAAAGATATAAAACAAAATAATTTTTTTCAGCATGAAAGAGTTTACCTATGATTTTTAGCCAGAAGCAAATAGTATGTGTAGTATGCGAAAGAAAGTCAATAGCTTATGTTATTGCTCATTCATATATATATATATAGGTGTACATTACCTCCCCCCCCCCCCCCCGGACCCCACAAGACCTATTCCTGGAAAAAAAAAGCTATTTGTGGTGGTGAGGACACAGTGTCATGCGACATCTAATCTATAGAATTCCTTACACGGTCATTAATAGGGAATTCCAGTTTTAATTTAACGGGAATGCGAACGATCGTAAAACAGTCAACTATAATGACTATATTAATAGAAAATGCGACTTTCGTATTACAATTGGATATTTTTAAGAATGACATTTTTTGATAAAGTAAATAGTATGTAAATAAATATAAGCACACATACGCGTGCTCACATACAAACACATACAAACACTTTCATACATCTTATATACATATATACATACATACATATATACATACATATATATATATATATATATTTATATTTATATATATATATATATATATATATATATATATATATATATGTAACTGGGGTAGGCCTAACTACCAGTTACAAATGATAACGAACGAGAAGCCGAGACACAGTGTTGGTCTGATGCAACCGATAACAGGTGGCTTATTGGGTCGGGCTGATAACAACCTCAAAGCCAACGCGTGCTATTTTGGGAAACGGTATTCAGACGGCCTGTCAACTTTGATGGATAGGACGCAGATGTTATTTTACGGTCTGTACGTTTGAACTACGCAACTGGTGGTCGGAGATCGAGTACAAGTATCGATTACGGAGGAATACAAGTACGGGGACGAGT